CCTCCCCACCCCCAAGCGGTGCCGCGCTGTTCGAGGGTAGTCTCCAGCCCGATCAATACGGGGAGTGGGGGAGGGGCTGCTGGAACTGTATCCTGTACGGACACTAGGTCACTGGCGGCTGGGTCTGCGCTACCGGCGCGGCGCCGGGCCCGGTGCCCCCCGCCTCCTCGTCCCCCTCCCCGCGCAGCCCACCAGCTGCCCAGTACTGCCAGGGGAGTGGTCCTGGTGGAGGGGGAGGGCCGTGGGAACCTCCGTGGTGGCGCGCACGACTGCGGCACACGGCGTTGGCTTGAGGCGGCGCGCGCGCGGCGTTGTGCCGAGAAGGGTGCAGCGCGCGCGCTTGCGTGTGTGTGTGTGTGTGTGTGTGTGTGTGTGTGCGTGTGTGTGTCGAGGGAGCGTCAAGGGAGGGGCTCTTTTATCCCCATCACACATCGCTCCCGGCCCGGAGATTGCGGAGCTCCGATTCCAGGTTTAACGTCAGCTGGTTTCCCACTCAGGCTGCGCCGCTGACGCCACACTGACGCCGACACCCTGGTGCTCGCGGGGCGTGGGCTGATCTTAAAAGACATGCTGGTCTACTACTAGTCATGTACCGGAAACAGCCTTTTTGCACAGACTTGAAAAAGAGTTTTTCTGTTGGATGGCATGATTTACTTTGGGATTTGCATTGACCACCAAATGCAGACGAGTGGGAGAAAGATTACGAACCTGTGCGAGCAAACTATTCCCGCCTCCTTTTAAAGCAAGCCATTGCAGCAGGCAAGCTGGCTCACGAGTTCCTTTTTGCCAGAGCTCCGTAAGTTATCATGCCATGAACGACTGTTAGTTACTCAACCAAACATCTCAGCAAAGAAGTTTCGGGGCAAGTTGGCACAGACATGGGTCCGAGATTCTTGATCGAACGGGATGGAGTTACGTCTGGAGCGAGCTTACCGGGGGGCGAGTTAATCGGGACGAGCCATAGCCCGTCGCCCAGTTAAGTAACGTTAACAGTTAAGTTACGGAGCCTCGTCATGTTCAGTCGAATTCGAACTGTGTGACAGAGTTTGCAATCGGTCGGACACTACCCCGGCGAGCTAACCCGACAGTCTTCTGTCTTTTCTCACTCCCATCTCACGTCAGAAAAGAGTGAGAGAGACAGCGGACTGTCGGGTTAGCTCCCCGGGGTAGTGTCCGACCGATTCCAAACTCTGTGTGACATTGGCAAGAATATTCGTTTGAACGTGATTTATGTTTCCGTCGCCCTCGAGGCGGAAATCACTTCCGAAAAAGTTCGTACACCTTCCCCCGAAATAGTCCGAAATAAAGGCAAAATAGAGCGAAATAGACCAGAAATATCCTGAAATAATCCGAAATAGGCGAGAAATAACCGAAATGGCAGGAGAAATACCACGAAATAGCCCGTACGCTACGAACCCAAGTGATTTTAGATATATGCGTCTCTATCACGTCACACTTTATAAAGAATGTGACACAGTCTTCTAAAAACTCTCAAAAAACCACTTGATCCGCAGAACGAACACGAAAATCACACTGGTAAAACAAGTGTTTAATTTTGCACGTCAATTGACGTTTAAGTTTAAGTGTGCATTTACTTGACACATTGTGGTGTCTAACAATGTTGTACGTCAATTGGTGTTTAAACTTTCGACACTTCCGAAAGCAGCTGCACACCGTATAGTTCCCTATTGACAGCATAAAACTGTGTGTGTCCAAGTGTGCAGAATTTAAACGTATACAAAACGTCTAAAATTTGCACACCACGCAAGTGTGCAACTTGAGTTAAACACCATGTTATGAGCTACATCACAACTTGCACACGTTCGGTGTTCAAATATTGCACACTTGTTTTACCAGTGAAAGAAAATTTTACTTCCGTAAAATAAATTTTGATCGCCCTGATTACATGATTTAGTCATGTTGATGTGCTGTGGTGTGGTCGGCTGTCGGCTCGATGATATTTTTGTTTACTTGGTCATATTGTGTTTAAAAATTTTGATCAATGTTAAGTTGGCTTCAGCGAGCAAATTTTCATTGATTCGACTCTTTTATGGTTGCTACAACAAATCGCTTGTCTCAGTGCAATGTTGCACAACATTGTTGCAGAAGTTTAGTTGCGACATGAGTGCAGTATTTGAATCACAATGATAGGGAAGCATTAGGCATCAGGCATCTCAATGACAGCGACATTTTGATATCAAGTGTTTTTGCTTGCACCATTATTAACCTCCACTTTGCACACTAAACTCTTTCCCCTCCATGCCTACACCCTACACCTCCTCCCCTCCCACACCCGGTCTCTCCAAGCCGTTCCACATACATGCAAACCGTCGATATGTTTACAAATCGTCACATCATAAAGACGGAGCAAAAATATGCGCTCGCAGTAAACACATGACTGGGCATATCCTGCGCGTCAGAACGGGTCTGCTGTTGGCAATGTAGTTACATGCTTCCTGGCGGGCGATTTTCGTTCGGGTCAGGGTGAAGCCAAATTAAGAATACGTCGAAACACCATGCTGTCAAAAATATTGTACCAAAGTACAACAACACATGTGTGGCAGGTTTGTGATGATGAAGTACACGATCGTTACTTTTTATTGTATTGCCCATCATAAGACTTCATATTAAGGATACTATACTTTTTATCCACCAAAATTTTACCTTACTGTTCAATGCGATCAGGCAAGGACTTGACCAGTGCGTGTTGTGCTTTTTCTGACAGTGAGAGAGTAGCAACGATCTCGCACGGTTTCTGACGTGAAATGTTGTGAACAAACGACCCATCGTATAGCAAAACTGAAATAAAATTTGAGGTCAGGATGACTTCTGGCTCAAGATAGGTTATTTGTAAACCATTATCGGAGTTTACTGCTTGTAGCGTTTTGGAACGACTTTCAACCAGAAGCAGGCCTTATGATGCATGCGCGAACGCGAACACCGCGTCCCACCAGGTTCTCGCGGGGTTCCTGACAACTTATGTTTAAATTTGGCCACTGCAACGGGTCCTTTTAACGTCGTCCGATCTCCCAGGGACGCTCTAACGTTATCCGATATCTCTTTGACGCTCGCTCTGCAGTGCTCTCTTCCTTTAATAACGAGTGGGATAATATGGCATTCGAGAAAAATGAAAAGTTGATGTGTTCCTTTTTCTTTCAGGAACACCTGGCAATTTCCACTTTTTTATACTGCCGATATTACCCAACTCGCAATAAGCAGCGATACACAGCGAGCGTCAAAAGGAGATTGAACGCATGACAATTTTCCCGTGAGCCTACTACAAATTTTCACAGTAAAAAG